TGGGCTCCAAAATCACTGCAGATGGTGACTGCAGCCATGAAATTAAAAGATGCTTACTCCTTGGAAGGAAAGTTATGACCAACCTAGATAGCATATTAAAAAGCAGAGACATTACTTTGCCAACAAAGGTCCATCTAGTCAAGGCTATGGTTTTTCCAGTAGTCATGTATGGATGTGAGAGTTGGACTATAGAGAAAGCTGAGCTCCAAAGAATTGATGCTTTTGAACTGTGGTGTTGAAAACTCTTGAAAGTCCCTTGGACTGCAAGGAGATCCAACCAGTCCATCTAAAGCAGATCAGTCCTGGGTGTTCATTTCAAGGACTGATGTTGAAGCTAAACCTCTAATACTTTGGCCATCTGATGTGAAGAGCTGACTCATTTGAAAAGACCCTGATGCTGGGAAAGTTTGAAAGCAGGAGAAGGGGACGACAGAGGATGAGATGGTTGGGTGGCATCACCTACTCAATGGACGTGAGTTTGAGTAAACTCCGGGAGTTGGTGATGGACAGGGAGGCCTGGCGTGCTGCAGTTCATGGGGTTACAACAAGTCAGACATGACTGAGTGACTGAACTGAATTGAACTTAACTGTGCTGGGTCTTCATTGCTGCACACTGGCTTTCTCTAGCTGTGGAATGCAGGGGCTCTTCTTCATTACAGGGCACTAGCTTCTCACTGTGGTGGTTCTCTCATTGCAGAGCACAGACTCTAAGCGCTTGGGCTCAGTAGTTGAGACACACGGGCTTAGTTGCTCCTCGGTATGTGAAATTTTCCCAAACCAGGGATCAAACCCATGTCCCCTGCACTGACAAGTAGATTCTCATCCACTATACCATCAGGATGTCCCTATGTTTAGTTCTTTATAATCTTATCTTTCTATCATCTATTTTCTCATTACCATCAGGATGTCCCTATGTTTAGTTCTTTATAATCTATCTTTCTATCATCTATTTTCTCTTTTGTTGAATCTTCTAGTAGAATATAGGCATGTATCTGTTCACTGTTATATATTAATGCCTAACTCAAAGTCTGATTACAGAAATGTCATTTACTGTATTAAAAATATTTTAAGTAAACTGAAAATTATTCTCTTTGCAGTTATAAAAATTAGACTAGGCTCCTTTTCCTTCTTTTCTGCCTTCTGCCTTATGGAATAAAAATCTCAAAAACCAGGAGCGGAAAGCTAAGAGACCGCTGCTGGAATTCTTTCAGTCCTTCTCCTCTTACACCCAGAAATGTTTTGTAGAAATCTGAGTAAGGAAAACTCTAGGTGGCCAGAGAAAGGAGGAGAAAGGTGGATGTGGGTGGTGTGAAAGTGAGTACAGTTAATTCTTCATTGTTTTCCCAAGTAAATATTCATCAGCCTAGAGAAGCTATGTCTCCAAGAGATGATTCAAACTGAGCAAATCAAGTCTAGAAAAGTGATCAGCCTTAGACTGGCTGTCAATAATAATTAATGCATACACAAAATGAGAAAAAGAAACACTAAAGTGATAGCTTATATTTAATTTTCCTTACTGCTTGTATTAGGTGCCCACATTCACATTCAGCTGCTATAAAAGAGCTGAGGTTTTGTAAAAGACCAAAATGGACTTGTTGTCACTGAACAAGACCTCAGATTAAAAAGAATTAAAACACACACACACTCACATACCTGAGATCTAAATCCACATGTTGATGGCACATCCCAATTGCAATTTCATTCCTTTTGAATGACCTCTTAATAACCAACAAAATTGCTAAACTCAATGTATGATCCCAGTGAGATCACTGTAAATAGATGCACAATATATTTATTAATCCCTCATGACCCACAGAGGCTCAAAATCAGCATTTATTTAAAAAACAAAAAAGCTTTAAAAATCTCTCAAGATAAATAACACATGTGCTTGTTAACTTGTATTTACTTTTGTCCAGATCAGTTTTCTAATAAACACAATAGCAACCAAGTCTACATGATGCATACTGTATTCTGATACTTTTCATGAATATAGCTTCTTAGACAGTCATTGCTCACAGTCTGCAGTCTCAAACATATGCTCCTTGGCTTTGCACCCCTAGTGACTAATATTTGATCTTGCTTTGCTCATCTGTGACTTAATGTGTTCTCCATGGGTAGTATAAACAGCAAAAAATGGTAATTATTTTAGGATTAAATACATCCAATATACTTTAGTAGCAGACTATTTAAAAATATAAATAAAAACACAGGCCAAATGTGGTCAGAGACCAAGATTAGGAATACTTAGGCAATTTACATTTAAGTCTTTAAATGATCCATCTGAAAGCAGAACGTAAATTGATACCTATAGAAACAGAGGAAACTGTGTATTAGGAAAAAGAGTAAATAATGAGATCCTCATCAGTTCCATGGCAGAAGCATCATGGAGTGGTTAACAGCACAGCTCTGACATCAGAAATAGATTGAGAGCCACCCCTTACTAGGTGTGTAACCTTGAACATCTGTGAAATGTTAACAGTGACAGAAATCAATACCTACTCCCTCAGGGCCCTAATTAGGATTAAATGAAATAATGAATTACCATTTTTAGTGCACTCTTTCACTTATAAGTAACTGACAAAGATTTTGATGATAATGATGCTGAAGATGGGAAAAGCATGAGAAGTGAAGTGCTCTGGTGAGTTACAGTGGAAAAGAAGCACAGATGAACTTAGAGGAGGTATAGTGAGTGGAAAAGCTTCCCTGGCGGCTCAGACGGCAATGAATCCGCCTGCAGTGCAGGAGACGACGGTCCGACCCCTGAGTCAGGAAGATCCCTTGGAGAAGGGAATGGCTACCCACCCCAGTATTCTGACCTGGAGAATTCCATGGACTGAGGAGCCTGGCAGGCTACAGTCCACGGGGTTGCAACCAGTTGGATACAACTGAGAAACACACACACACATAGTGAGTGGAAAAAATGTGGTTGCAAAGAGCTGAACACAATTCAGCCACACAGACACACTTACACACACATGGATGTTCCCCTAAGCAGACACCTGCAGCACTGATGGGCCGCAAAATGTTGGACACACACACACACACGCGCGCGAATGTTCCCCGGCAGACACCTGTAGCCCTGATGGGCTGCAAAATGTTGGACACACACACAAAGTAAAAAGAATGTGGTTGCAAAGAGTTGGACATTATTGAGCAACACACAGACACAAATGTTCCCCTCTGAGGCGGACACTTTCAGACACACACACATGGGCCTGGACACTTTCAGACACACACACACACACACACACACACACACGTTCCCCTGTGAGGAAGACACCTTCAGACAGACAGACACACACACACACACACACACACGCACGTGCGCACTCCTAGACAGCTGATTTTGTCTCACCTGATGAAGTTCGAAGTTATGTTCAATGAGGAGGTGGTGTGACTGACCTCCCAGCTCTGAGCTGTTATCTTCTCTTTGTATGCAAGCTGGGCTCCCATTAAGAAAGACAGCAGATAGAATACTCCATACTAATTGAGAATTCCAGTTACCATATTTAATTAATTCGTTCTTTTTTTATTCAAATAAAAGGCTTATTTTTCATGTTTAATAAGATAAATTAGTATTTTTATGCCTGTCCCTCCCAAGGAAACCCCACAAGTAAGTGGCCACGTTCTACTGAGGATATGCCATGAGAATTAAGCACAGACAAAACTTGGGCTTTAGTTAGTCTTTCTGTAACTCCAACTCTTTAATAGTAAACAAAGATGTAAGTATAAGACATCAAAACATGTCACGTATCAGTAGTGGTCATAGTGGTGGAGCTGAGGTCACTCACATTTTAAGGAAATATAATCTACCCTGTTTCAGTGGAATTCATGCTCTGGCAGTTGGAAGGCAGACATGAGGCTTATTTTGTGCAGAATGTATTCACTTAGCTGAAAACAGCTTTCTTCTCTTACCTTTACTTGGCATTTTTAAAAACTGTTCACTTTCTTTTAATGTTAAAAGTGCTATGTGAACTGAAGGGGTCCTTTCATTGCTGAAATAAATTTATATGTCACACATTTTGGGGTCAACGTTGCTGGTTAAATTCCCTCAGAATTAGCAATTCATAGAAAATTAGTTGAGACGCTAGCACACCTGCATACCAGAAGGGCCATTTACAGCTCACAGTATAGGGCTCTGTGGTATAAAGTGCCTATGAGCAGCTTCTTGTCATACACGGAGGCCACAGAACTTCCCTGGAGAACAGATCCATTGTTGGCATAAACTGTAGTCACTGTAGGCTTCTCAGATAAAATATTCTGGATGCGGAGAACCTATTCAGGAGATATGAAGGATTAATATAAACCACCATCCACCCGTGTCACTCAGTCATCAGTAATCTTGCACAAAGACACAATGATTAAGAGGACATGCTGTTGAAAATAGCAGTTAGCAATTTTGTTAATGTTTAAATTACTTTGTTAAAACCTCAAAGAAAGTACTTTCTTAAGCCACCGAGAGACTGCATGCCAACACCGGATTGAGTGTTATTACAGTAATTGAGCATTAATAGAAAAACTTCCACACTAATGTGCCTACTTTAGCATGAACAAAAGTCGTGCCATGCAGTGAGCTGACAATAAGCCAGGTATTTAAAAAATTGCCAGTATACCACACAAGGAGGGCACATCTTTAGAAAAAAAGATCTTTTGACTAGCTTCTACCATCATTTACTACATCAAAAGATTACCTTTCTAAAAGTATTTGAACAATGTGAAATTCTGCCAATTACTGGCTTAAAGCAATTACGAAGCCAACCGCCACACGTTTATTGTATTATTGGTTTAAAAGGACTAAACAGACCATCCCTGGGACAGTTTATTGTATTATTAGTTCAAAAGGGTTTGAATAATTAAGGTTTAAAAAGTAAAACATATAAAAACCTCTGATGAGGGAGGATTCTTCGGGTCATACACGAAGAGCTTCTGGCCATTAGGATGACAGCCTACCAAGACGTCCCCCGAGGAAGGGTCAATGGATAAATTATCCACCAGTGTATCCAACTTGAGTACCTTCCAAATGAAAAAACGTCAACATCTAAATGTCATGAGAAACCTCAATTAGATAATTTAGGGCCATCCTTTCTTGCCCCTGTGCATATGGGGAAATTATACCCATCTCCTGCTTCCACTCTTTAACACCAATATTGCATAAAATAAATTTAATACGCTCGTTTAGAGTCACTTTTCATTCTTCCTGAAATTAAGAAAGTTAGGACAATAATCAATCTCTCTAAAAAATGAACCCCTTTCCCCCTTTAAAAGATGCACAATGATCGGTTAGCTCAAGAAACTCATTCAAATAAATTCTTCATCAATCTAAAATATGTGTTGTCAAGCAGGAAGAAAATAATAATGGTGTGGAACCCAATTTCCACCTTCATTTATTATTGAAAGAACTGACAACTTGCATAAATCTTCATTTCGGAATTCATCTATTAGTCTTTTCAACTGTGAAAATTTCTTACTGGAATTCATCGGGTGCCATCAGTACTTCATGGAGTGGGTGCTAACTCTGATGCAAATGTCCCTCCCAACATACAGCTGCATGTAATCAGTCATGACTGTTCTTGTGACTTTGGGAAACAAGAGACTTAGTCAATTATAGACAGGTAGCAGTGAAAAACCCAGAGTAGCAACACTGGCTATTCTGTTTTAAGGGAGGTATTGTTATAATATAGTATGGTTATGTAATTTCAAGATTAATGTCAACTTTAGATATAGAAAGAAATATTTTACCTTCAACTGAGTTAAATTCATATTAGGGTGCTTTTCCAAAACATGAATTTCATGAGCCAGTATATCAGCAACATAGATGTACCTTTGCAGGAAGGACACACTGGTTAGAGCTCCAAGCCAAGATAAAGCTTCATTAACACAGTGGGAAGAATAAGTCTTAATAACCTGCCAAGCAGTTAATCAATGATGGGCCCTCAAGGAAAGCCTGATAAAGGTCAATTTCTATTTAAAAGTAAGCTTTCAAAATCAATTCAGTGCTGCTACAACAGTCGTGGAATTGTTAAATTATTTTTCAAAAGATTGGTAAGGAAAAATAATATAGGGCAGCATTTAAAATATCAAGTCTGTGGCGTGAGAGGTGGGAAGAAGGTTCAAGAGGGAGAAAATATATGTATACCTCTGGCTGATTGGTGTTATTGTATGGCAGAAACCAACACAGCATTGTAAAGCAATTTCCTCCAATTAAAAACAAATAAATTTAAAAAATATATAAAGTCTGTGATATTTGCCACTGAAGGGACAATAAAACAGATGTTTAAAAAAATCTTTTACATTCCATAATATAATTTGATATTTCAAGAGCTCATATACATGTAGAAATATTTGGTATAAAACAGAAGACATTTATTAACATATTGAGAACTTCAAGCATTAGAGATAAGTATCTACTCAGAATAATTTGTCTGCATCTAAGGAGGGTGAATTAATGGACTGCTTTACCATAATCTTCCTCATTGAATTGACTGTTCCATGGCAACTGTTCTATTGAGCAATTATAATGGGTAAAACCATGAACTCAGTATTGTGACAGATATAAACATGACGAAAACAGCTGTTTTTCCTGAAAAGTTTATCATGTGTTGTGGTAATTAGATGGCCTGTACACATTAAACAAATAATACAGCATGATGGTACCATAAGACATATTTTGGGTCTAGAGACTGAAGAAATATCTAACTCCTGAAAAAACAGAAGGGCTTGCAAAGAAAGGGGCATCTGCAGTGGACATGGACTGAGCGACTGGATTTGAGGATATGAGGACAAAGCATCTTTTAGGCAAAAGAAAACACGTGAGCAAAGGTACAGTGAGCAAGAATGAAAGAGGCGGGTTTGCAAAATACTGAGCTCCTGTCTAAAGCGTAGTAAGTATGAAAACAGTAGAAGAGAGAGGTTGGAGCTAGCTTATTAAAGTCTAACCCTTTAGCCTGCCTTGATTTGGAAAGCAATTGGGGTCCACTGAATTTCTGGAATAACAGAGTGTAATAACAACAAACAGTCAGCTCTGTGCAGCAAATCACTAAGCATGTGGTTTGTGCCTGGCTGGGCTCAGGGTGAGGAGTCAAAGGTGAAGCAGACAGAGGTCCCTCTTCCGGAGGTCTTGGAAGGGCAGTGGGACGCAGAAAGACAAAATTGGCAATGATGCAAAAAAAAAAAAAAAAAAAAAAGGACTGAAGACAAATGGGAAGAAAGTGAGAGTGAGAACCCGAACCAGGCAGGTGTCAGTGGAAAGGAAGAGGGGCTGAGGAACCGCACGCAGAACCAGTGTGCCCTGCTCGGCGGCTGGGCAGGAGGAGTGAGAGAGGAGCTAAAGCTGGACCCCCTGTTGGTGTTACTGTTTTCAGCCTGAGCGACTGGAAAGTTTGACTCTCATAATTGAAAGATGAGAGTCGGGGAGCAAAACAGATTTGGTGGGAGAGGTTGGATTGGGTCAGTTACAGACAATTTGAAAGATTCTACATCCATTTTCTGTAATCAACAATAAAGAAGATACTGTCATGAAAATAAAGACATTTAGTTGTCAAGGATGGCAGATTTATTTCATGTTATATGTGTAGTAGTTTAAATTGTTCAATGCACTAACCTAGTAAAAGGGAAAATTAATAAAGAATTTAATATCCTTTCTATAAACTAGAGTTGGACATATAAAAGTGAAAGAATTTGGGGGCGGAATTTGGCACTATAAAAATTAACATTTAAAAGGAGCACTCTTTGGGCAAGTCGTTCTATGTGAGGAGTTTGTTCTACAGAAACACTTGTACAAATGTGCAGAGGGAAGGGGCTTATAGCCCCAGATTTAGCCAATACCCAGTAGGCATTTGAACCTCGGTCTGTATGACTCCAAAATCTGAAAATTTAACCATTATGCTGTCATTCTCCCTTGGGGGGGGGGGGTTCTGCCTTAAAAATATATGGATAAGTTTCAGTGGTAAAAGAAAAATAAAAAATGTATTTTGTACAGAAAAGAAAATCATATATATCCATAGAGAACTGGCTAGTTTACAGTCATCCTTATAATGGAATAAAACAATAAAAGCCAATAAAACAATAATATATTTATTTAAAAGAAAAACATCTACCTTATATTTAAATATGTATATATAAATATGAACCCATTTTATAAAAATTTACATTTATAAAATTAAATTCTGTAATGATATAGTTGCTGTCATTGTTAGCTGCTAAGTCCTATTTGACTCTTTTTGCCACCCCATGGACTGTAGCCCACCAGGCTCCTCTGTCCATGGGATTTCCCAGGCAAGAATACTGGAGTGGTTTGCCATTTCCTACGCTAGGGGATCTTCCTGACCCAGAGATCAAACCTGCATCTCTTGTGTCTCCTGCATTGACAGGTGGAGTCTTCACCACTGTGCCACCTGGGAAGCCCAGTAACCTTGGAAGGTCACTAATGTATTACATATATGTATTATAATATCATAGCATTATAGTAATAGTTATAAATATCATATATATTTATCATAGACCAAAAATAACAGGTAAGCTATTTCTGCCTTAAATAAAAAGAGCAAAGTAAAGAACTTCACCCAGCACCATGACTAAAGAGAAATGAAAATACTTCTGTAAGAGCCCATACTTTTTATCAGGTGAAATATTGATCCCATTTGCTGAATCAAATCCTTCTGCTACCACTTTCACTTCATTTGGACTGTAGTAAACAACATTTGTCCAGTGTAAGTTCAAGTATGTTTCCAAATACTTTAAGAAAGGATCAGAGAAATAGTGGTCATTGGTAGCATAGAAATGTTCTGGTCCAACAGCTATGATATCATTCACACTGGAAGAGAAAAATAACATGTGAGAGAAAATGAAAAGCCAGTTGGTCTCCATATTAAAGATTAAGTATCCAGAAGGTTTACACAATATGTGCCTTAAATTTCTGGTAAGAGGTTCCCTAGGAAAAGCTCAGCTAAAATCACATGGGTATAGTCATATGTAACCTACTATAATATCATATGCTGGAGAACAACTTTGTATGGTACCAAGCAATCTGAAGACAGATCATTTAGCAATTATGGCAGGATTATTACAAAAGAAAAAAGAACTTAGTGCCAACAGAGTATGTTTTTTTGACAGCAAGAAATGTAAGGTTTAAGAATAACGTGAAAGGACATAGCTATCCATCGTACAGAGCTTGATGGAGTCTTATTGGCTGGTGAGGTGGTTGGGCTGTCAATAGCATTTACCTAGCTTCCATTTTTCTCAGTTGCTGGATTTTCTTGAGTTCCTTTGCTTAGTTATTAGTCAAACTAAGGTTGACTGTTCAATTTCTACCTGACTCGCAAAGCCGACCTGCTGAGAATGAACAGGCACTCAATAAACACTTCCAGATAGATGGATGATGAAATTGCCATGGTGAGGTGCTTTAGGTGAGAGATTTATATGCTGAAAACAATTACATTTTTAAAACCAGTTAGGTAAGGGTGTTATTAAATTTAAATTCCAATTACCCTATGCAAAAACTTCTGAAAGAGTGGCTTTCCCCTTTGTTAAAGAAAAAACACAGCTACAGGGAAGGTGGGTCCCCTCTTTCTGAAAGAGCTCCCTAAAGCAAAGGCTGCCTAGAGGGTACTTATGCTCCTATTCATTAGGAAGTGAATTTCGGGAAGAATGGTTGGCAGTTACACACTTAAGTTCTAGACAGACAAGTAGATATTAAAAATATTCATCAAGTTCAAGCTTAAAAGATGCAGCTGAACCTCTTTTAGTCACATTATCAACCAGCTGTGTTCTTGAAGTAGTAGTGACGCACTCCCAATTCTGTAGGGCCAGTAGCCCATGCTACCTTGTGAAAACATTTCATGTTAGTTCCATACTAAGCATACAAACTCCATATAAAGCAGGCTACTCTTCCTTGGCAGGACAGGTATTATTATTATTTGTGTGATGAGTCATCTGAAATGGAAGGTGACAGAAGGAACAATGGTGAGGTTTGTCTTCTACTCTTGAGATGGCTCTGAAAAGCAAATCCCCTGCAGTCCAGCATTTCCTCATTTCTCAAGCGAGCCTGCATAGCACACTGACGTCAACTTTTCCTGCTCTGCAAGGAAACTACTGTTGTTTAGTCGCTCTGTCGTGGCTGACTCTTGAGACCCTATGGGCTGTAGCCCGCCAGGCTCTGTCCGTGGGATTTCCCAGGCGAGAATAGTGGAGTGGGTTGTCATTCCCTTCAGGGGATCTTCCCGACCCAGGGATGGAACCAGTGTCTCCTGCATTGCAGGCAAATTCTTTGCCACTGAGCCACCAGGGAAGCCCATTCTTCAAATTAAGGGATAATTAATCTCTACAGTATAGACTATAACAGAAAACTCTCAAAACTCTCAAATTGCCTCAAAAGAGGCAATTCCTGCCTTTTATTTAGTAGATTATATGAATATAAATTCAGTTAGTGGATGTCATGGTAGAAATTCTGAGCAAGTTTTTCTGGCACCTGAAAAGGTCTCATGAACCTGTTATATTTCCCAGTTTGAAAGGATGTGCATTTGAGAGAGTTTCTAATGACTTTCTTGGGGGTTAAAATATCTGTGTATGATTTAATCACTTCAATATTGAGTTGAGTTTGGATAATATAATTTTGTCATGGCTAAAACAGTGGTTTCATTCAAAATTTTACATTCATGTAAATATTTATGAAAAGTAAAGTTGCAAGGAAACTATACATAGATATATACATGTAAATATATGTATTTGTTTATGTGTGTATGTATGTATGTATGTATTTCAGCTCTTACAAAAGATGAAGGACCATGATATGGAATATCTGAAAAAGGTAGCAATAAATCTGAGAATGAACAAAAGTACTAATTACCTTGGAAGAAGCTCATGTTTGATTGTTTTTAGATGCAAAAGAGAATTTTCTTCCTCTTCAAATTTAAAAATTTCTACTGTATTTTTGAACTCTGGGTGGTTTACAACAAAGAGATAAACGGTGTCATCTAAAAAAATGAGAGAATAGAGTTCATTTACAAGATATAACCATAGGACCTGTGGGTAGACACTGACATTTAAATACCACGGGCAAGGAAAGGCTGAATGTGTAAGCTGTTAGAGGACCTACCAGATCATTCTTCTTCCCCATCTTTCCCATCAGTGTCTTTCTAGTGTTATTTATTGACCATTGGTCTCCTGACCTTTAAGAAAGAGTGTTTCTCATTCTGTATACAGAATTCATGGATAATCTGTTTATAGTTTAACTTAGAAATAAAGCTCTTTTTCAATGCAATGAAAATAGATATATGAAAAGGTTATGAAATCTAAACACTCTTTCAGGTGTAATTAATAACTATTAGAAATTTCAAAATGTAGCATAACTTACTGCCAGATGAAGAGGCAATGTTGGACTTACTTATATGAAGAATACAGAAACAATTCATGAGTTGTTTTCTTATACAGATATGATCCAAATCTATTTTCCAGTCATTTGCAAACCACTGTTGTTGTTTTTTAAAATGTTGGTAGCTCATCAGTTCTTACCACTGTCTATGAAAGTGCTGATACCATGTGGATTAAATAAAGCCAAATTAAATCCACGGCTGATTCTTAATTCCAGTGCCCTTGGGTTTTCTTCATTTAGATCCATCATTAGTATTCCTCCAGGCTTATCTGGTGCAAAACTGTGAAGGCTTGGACATTTTAGACCCTTTTGAAAACAGAGCAAAAGTTAAAGGCTTAAGTGGGCTAAAGTAGTAACTATAAATAAGTGATACTTTGGCTAAAGGTGCTGGCATAATGCTAGAAACACAAAGAAAGCAGCGATGAAACAATAAGAAAATAATAATTGGGGGGTGGAAGGCTGAAAGCCAAACAGTATCTGATATTTCTGAGTTGAAGCAGAGATGAGGGGTTTAGTCTCCTCAGAGGGTAACCAGAAGGCAGGTGGACGTGAGATAACAGAGTTGAGGGCGGGAATAAACTGCTGTCTGACACATAGCCGTCCTCTCCCGGCTAGGACATCAGGTGGAACTTTGTCTTATTTTTTCATCACTAGATCCTCAGGTTGGATCAGTGCATGGCATGTACTCAGGCGGTCCTTTTCCCACTGATTCTAAATGTTGCTTTTATCATGTACTAGACCCTTGTTTACATATTTGTCGGTCTGGGGACTTGTGCCCTATTTCTGTGCTAATATTGCTACTTTTTAATTACTATAGCTTTATTCATTTTATATATATATTAGTATGTATATTATACTATATACATATTTAAACATACTATATAGTTATCCCACACCACATTGCTTTACTTTACAAAATAATCTTAAATATATCTGCTTCTTTATTTTTCTGTATAAATTTCAGAAATCAAGTGGCTGTTCAAATGAAATCTTATTAATAGTAGCAATAGTAATTGTATTTCTACTACTGCATTATCTATTTAGTTTTTCCTAGTACGTGGGAAAGTCATTGAGTTTTATATGTTCGTTTTGAATCCAACCATTTCACTCAACTTCCTATTAGGTCTAAGAGTCTGTCAGTTGAATCTCCTGGATGGTTTAGAAAAACAAGTAATCACGCTGTCTGAAATTAATGGCAGTTTCGTCTTTTTTCCTACATCATATTTCTTTTTCGTGTTTTCTTGGGTTATTAAGAACTTTAGTAGATTACTGATGGTTACAGTGTTTTAGGGCATTTTCTTCCTTTTTTAAACATTAATGGGAAGGCAGCAAATGTTTCACCACTAAGAATGATGTTTGCTGTAGGTTTCTGGGAAGTTTCCTTCTACTTCTAGGTTTTGGTTTTTTTTTTTTGAGCTTTTAATTTTATTTCTGCTTTATTGACTATGCCAAAGCCTTTGATTGTGTGGATCACAATAAACTGTGGAAAATTCTGAAAGAGATGGGAATACCAGACCACCTGACCTGCCTCTTGAGAAACCTGTATGCAGGTCAGGAAGCAACAGTCGGAACTGGACATGAACAACAGACTGGTTCCAAATAGGAAAAGGAGTATGTCAAGGCTGTATATTGTCACCCTGCTTAGTTAACTTATATGCAGAGCACATCATGAGAAACGCTGGGCTGGAAGAAGCACAGGCTGGAATCAAGATTACCGGGAGAAATATCAATAACCTCAGAAATGCAGATGACACCACCCTTATGGCAGAAAGTGAAGAAGAACTAAAGAGCCTCTTGATGAAAGTGAAAGAGGAGAGTGAAGAAGTTGGCTTAAAGCTCAACATTCAGAAAACTAAGATCATGGCATCCGGTCCCATTACTTCATGGCAAATAGATACAGAAACAATGGAAACAGTGGCCGACTTTGTTTTTCTGGGCTCCAAAATCACTGCAGATGGTGAGTGCAGCCATGAAATTAAAAGACACAAAGTCCTTGGAAGGAAAGTTATGACCAACCTAGACAGCATATTAAAAAGCAGAGACATTACTTTGTCAACAAATGTCTGTCTAGTTAAGGCTATGGTTTTTCCAGTAGTCATGTATGGATGTGACAGTTGGACTATAAAGAAAGCTGAGTGCTGAAGAATTGATGCTTTTGAACTGTGGTGTTGGAGAAGACTCTTGAGAGTCCCGTGGACTGCAAGGAGATCCAACCAGTCCATCCTAAAGGAGATCAATACTGGGTGTTCATTGGGAGGACTGATGTTGAAGCTGAAACTCCAATACTTTGGCCACCTCATGCGAAGAGTTGACTCATTTGAAAAGACCCTGATGCTGGGAAAGACTGAGGGCAGGAGGAGAAGGGGATGACAGAGAATGAGATGGTTGGATGGCATCACTGACTCAATGGACATGAGTTTGAGTAAACTCCAGGAGTTAGTGATGGACAGAAGGCCTGGCCTGCGCTGTGGTTCATGGGGTTGCAAAGAGTGCATGACTGAGTGACTGAACTGAACTGAATCAGGAATGAGAGTTGAGTTTTATTTAATGCTTTTTCAGCACTGACTGAAATAATTGAGGTCTTTTCTCTTTTAAATTTTTCAAGTCGTACTTTACACAAATTTATAAGAATACCTTCCCAAGTGAAAGTGAAGTCACTCAGTTGTGTCTGACTCTTTGCGATCCCATGGACTGTAGCCTACCGTGCTCCTCCATCCATGGGATTTTCCAGGCAAGAGTACTGGAGTGGGTTGCCATTTATTTCCTTCTCTAGAGGATCTCCCCAACCCAGGTATCAAACCTGGGTCTCCTGCGTTGTAGGCAGACACTTTACCATCTGAGCCACCAGGGAAGTCCAAAAACCTTCCCAAAAACCTTACTTTATGCTCAAATTGTATTTAATACACATTTTCTCCAGTTAAAAAATATCTATCAAATTATACAACTTCAAGATCCAACAAACAATAAACTGGAATTATGCTGTTGTTCCATGGCACTGACAATTCAGTGGTTAATAATCTCTCTCCTTGATCCATGTACCATAAACAGTAGAGTGTCGATGCACAGGAAGCTCTACCAGGGATGTAATAACTTCATGTGCGCTTAGTCGCTCAGTCTTGTCCGACTCTCTGTGACCCTGTGGACTGTAGCCTGCCAGTCTCTTCTGTCCATGGGGGTTCTCCAGGCAAGAATACTGGAGTGGGTTACCATACCGTCTTCCAGAGGATCTTCCCAACCCAGGGAGGGAACCCAGGTCTCCCGCATTGCAGGCGGATTCTTTACCGTCTGCCACCAGGGAAGCCCAGTAATACTGGAGAGAGTGGCCTAACCCTTCTCCAGAGGATCTCTCCAACCCAGGAATTGAGCCAAGGTCTCCTGCATTGCAGGTAGATTCTTTACCAGTTGAGCTACCAGGGAAGCCCCAATAACTCTCCATAATTATCTTAGTTTAAGATATCATTCAAACCTGTTTTTATCTCTTTTTAAAATTTTATTTCCACTTGTGGTAAAATATACATAAAATTTACCATTTTCACTATTTTTAAGTGTACAGTTCAGCAGTTTTAAGTACACTTACACTGATATTTAAATCTCTATTCTATTCTATGTCATCCAAGTCCTCATTAAATGTGGTGTTAGTTTTGAGGTTGCCCCTAATTGTTGAATGGGATGGATTAATGGGCCACAGTGCTTGGAAGAATAAACAAATGCCACGATGTAGGAGTTACTCATTTAGAAAGGAGCACATACTAGGAAATATTAGAGACAATGCTGAGTAAATTTTAAAAATCAATAAAATGAAAGTAAATCATTTTAAATTAATAAGTCATATAACCAAAGAAGGATAAGAGAAAATCATGCAGAAGAAATTCTGTTGACTTGACTACAAGATCACTGTGACTATATTAGATCTCTCAGCTAAAAATGGCTGTAGATTTATGTATTGAAGACCTCGCTCTTCCTAATTCAGATTTATTCTTACGGGGATAAAATCTTGAAATAGATGAGTTCTGGATTACCCAAATCTCTGAGAACAGCTTCTTTGAAAAAAAAAAAAAAGGCAAGCAACTGCCTTCTACTTTACTCCAGATATTTGTACCTTTGGTTATGTATAATGCTGACGAGGAATCTCAGTGCTTTTCCCTAAGACTGTAAGCCATATGTGGAAGCATGTGCTTCTACACAAGCCCAGAGTCCTCCCAGAAATATAATTTTACTCATTGTGAGTAGGTAATTAACTACAATTTTTCTTTTAAACTTGCAGTTTGAAAATTTAATATAAATATCCATGCTTCTGCCAAAACCTACAGTATTTCTTTTCTCCCTCTGTGGTAGACAACCAGCTGCTCATAGGCTTTCACATAAAAAGCATCAAGAACCTGAAGAGTGTTCTAAACCTCATTCTCATCTAAGCTGTGTTCTCTCACCTTTCTTGTAAGTCTGACGGCTATTTTATTAGTGTCGCTACTGTCTTCTAAAGCATCTCCAAGTTTTTCACAACTTTCCCTGAGTCTCAGAGTCTGAAAATAATGGCTGCTGAGAGGGAACAGAATACCTCCAGGCTGCCTTCAAAGTTGGATACTTTTTTCTTTATTTAAAAGATTTATTTATTTATTTGGATGCACTGGATCTTAGTTGCAGCATGCAGACTCTTAGTTGTGGGATGAGGATCTAGTTCCTGGGATCAAACCTGGGCCCCCTGCATTGGGAGCAAGGAGTCTTAGCCACTAGACCACCAGGGAAGTCTTGAAGTTGGGTTCTTCTTTCTCAAGAAAAATGGAACTCATGAAGATGCTGAAGTCCATCACCTTGGCTCATGCCAGGCAGGATAGAGAGGTAGAACTTCCTCTTTGGCCAATATATACAGTTTTCCAATTAGAATACATATTGGTATAACCTTGCATCACTCTGGCCAATCTATTTTAAAGTCTTTAAAATATACGCCTGAAAAGATTGTTACTTTTCAGTTTATAAAAATTAAGGCAAAAGTGAAAGGTAAACTCAAATCAATGACTTTCCACTGATGATAGGCTTTTCATCGGGGAAAAGAAAGAAAGAAAAAGTACTGGGCTTCCTTTAGGAGTTAGTATATTGTTCAAAAATAAATAACAGCAAGAATGCTACCTTTAAATTGAATGTTGAATGGAAAGAAAGGTATATGCTGCATTTAAAATAGCACAATGTAGTATCAATATCCACAGTCATGCTTCAGATATCATTTTTAATAACAAACAGATTGCACTGGAATATTTTAGTGCAAGGCAGGAGGGACATGAAGAGTAATAAGTCAACTGGCAACGACTTTTTAATCCCTATATTTAGAGAAGCTGGAGGTAAATTTCCAAGATCCTGTTTGACCTGTCTTTTGTTTTCAGAATATAATTTTGAAAGTGAGGAACTTTAAAAACAAGTGACTGCTTTGCAGGCCTCATGAAACTTCCTTGTACTTCTTCCACTGAGATGGAGAAGGAAGATACTCACCACACTAAAGAAAGCCAGGCCGTTGGGAAGTATGTCAATATCTTCAGCGCCGGCTTCTGTTAAGTTCAAGAAATAGATAAATGTCATGTTCAAATTCTGTGATTTGTTAGGTAGAGCTTTGTTTACTTTATCAGTGTCTGTATCTTTCAGCATGGTTCCCATTTTTTCTTCCAAGGAACCACTCTCTTTAATAAACGTCAGTCCAAATCCTTTCCTGCAGTGAACTTCTGACTTTAAATATTAGAGATTTTATGTTTACTCAAATCAAAGTCAACTAATCACTACATTTCTAGCTACGAGACTGAAAAAGTTGACATCTGTACACTCTTATGATAAACAGCCAGATGTCTATACAAAAGTAATTGACATCAGGGGAATATTACTTTCAGAATGAAGGACACATCATCATTTAACCGTGCAAATATCTTGTCCCTTTCTCTGCTCATTCAGCAATGAGCAGAATCAGAAGCAAACACAGACATTTCTCTCATTACCAGAGATAAAACACCTGGGATTATATAGGCCCTCTTTAAAAAACAATGTCTGTTCGATCTCATAAGCAAAGAGCTTTCTGTTTAATCTTTAAATTTAGGCTTTAGATTAGAAAAAAAAAACTGGCAAAAGAAAATTAATGAAAAATACCATGCACCTAAGCCAGTTGAAGCTTCAACAGAGTCTCTGAGACAGACTACAATTACTATTGATTGTTTATTGATTGTCTGCAGTACACTCCACACAGCACAGCAAATAATTAGACATAAGACCTTCCCAGTGGTCTCACTGTGTAAATTCCATGGACAGATAACAGACCCAAACACAAGAAAAGAAGAAAAATGCCTTAGTTTAAGCCAAATCATGACACATTCTTTGAGTCCACAAAATTCAGTCTTCCCCTTTAAGCCCTCTCCAGAGTATATCTCCAAGATTATTTCTAGGTTGTCAAAAACAAACAGCACTTATCCAGCTATTTGGGTTTTGCTTCCTGAGTTTGCATTTAGCTGCACTGCCTCTAGTATTGCTCATTCCATCAGCAACAGCGGAGAAAAGCAAAAAAAAAAAAAAAAAAGTCAAGAACTTCATTCCATAAAGATGACCCATATGCTTATTTTCTCAGAGAGTGGAGAGATATGTCTAAGCATAGTGTGCTAGAGGAGTTCTTAACCTCGGGTCTGTGGAGCCACAAATGGGTTTTCAAGACTCTATGAACCCTTTGAAATCCTGTGCAATGCAAGATATCCTGTACACGTACAGATATCTTCTGTGAAAAAGGTTCTGTGCTTTCAGCAGATTCAAAAATGGGTCTGTGATACCCACCAAAAGTTCTATGGTGCTTCTCAACTGGTAAAGAGCGAGGACCAAGGAACCCTTCACCACGTACACACACAAAAACACAAACATATGAACACACATGTGTACACACCATTCTAGTCCAAGTTCTGCTTTCTATATCCATTTAGTAGGAGCTCAATTAATTAAAATTTGTCAATTAATCTTGAAAAATTATTTAAGACAATTTCAATGTGTACATGCCTATACACACAGACAAAAAATATGTACAAAAAAAACTAAATGTTTTTTTGGGTGGTGGGATTTTGGGTTGAGTGATTTTCCTTTTACTCTTTAAACTTTTCTTTGTTTTAAAAATTTCTACAAAACATATTCTTTCAATAATCAAGAAGAGAGCAACATTTTTAAAAGATATTTTCACTTCGACCACATTGCAACTTCTGTTTCATCCTGTTGCCTAATTTCAAGGGAAAAAAGTCATATCTGTAGCTTCTTTAGAATATTTTCCAGATCTAGTCCCCCATCTTCACTTCTATAGCCAACACAACAGTAGGTGTTTGTCATCTCATAACACCCTTTCAGTATGATTATTGTAAAAGTAGTCAAAGCTGGAGATGCTTTTTCTCCTCTAATTCAATAATAGAAACAGTAATATTATTAGTAGTAACACTTATAACTAGTAACATATATTGTGTTCACCAAGAACCAGGCTCCTTGTAAGTACTTTATACATGTTAGTTCATATAATTTTCATAACTCTAAGAAGTGATAATATTATAGAATCAGGCTCCTTGTAAGTACTTTATACATGTTAGTTCATATAATTTTCATAACTCTAAGAAGTGATAATATTATCTCTTAGCGTAGAGAATATTGAGCCTTTGAAAGGTTAAGGTCACAAACTGGGAAGCTGGGATTCAAGTCTTTTGTTCTCACTTAAAAGTACATAGAAACAAATACAACCTAACATTTAATGAAATTTCTCTGTCAGAACTATCCCCTGGTTCCTTTCTGAGAACACTTGACTTTGTAAATCCAACTGTGGTCGATTATGTATGTTGGCTTTTTCCTCAAAATGTTTTCTTCCATGCCTTTCACCAAGATCTTCATCAATTCATATGTTGTACTTTTCTTTCAAACCTCTTTCAAACCATCTTTCTCTAGAACGTCTTGTAACTTAGCACATCTGATTTTGATCCCTTCTTATTTCTTTAGCAATTATCTATCTGTGTCAGAGAAGGCCAACCCCTCCCCAGGATCCATACTTCCCTTATTGCTATTCAGCTACAGGTGCATGGCAACATGTGTGTGCTGGCTCGTTCGTATTGGACCCTATGTGACCCCATGGACACCCCACCAGGCTCCTCTGTCCGTGGGATTTCCCAGGCAAGGATACTGGGATAGGTTGCTATTCCCTTCTCCAGGGGATCTTCCTGACTGAGGAATCAAACCCAATTCTCCTGCATTACAGGCAGATTTTTTACCTACTGAGCCATCAAGGAAGTCCCTCTTGCTGATAAAGGTGGCTGTTTGTCTGAGTTCGGGTTAATGAGACGTGAAAGTACAAGGTTTATGCAACTACTGGGTAATACAGAGTAAAAATATCTAGGTAAATGTTCTTCCTACCCCTTCTTGCTGGGAAACGGCAACAACTGGAGTTCTAGTCGTGGACCAAGGTGGTACGTTGACAATAGCTGTGTCACCCCATCAGCCTTGGTCTCAGAATGACCACATGAGATACAGTCATCTAATCACCCTAGGCCATTTGCTTGCCTTTGGACTGTCACATAAAAGAAAATCAATTTCTTTCTTCTGTAAGTTACTCACTGTAATTTTATAACAGCTGATCAGCCCTTCATACCCAACAGAGTATCCAAAACGTAATGTAGCCTATTATTTTCCACTTTTTTGGTTCACTAATCAGATATATGTGTTAATGATACTATATTGAAAAAAATTGCAAAAGTTATTTAACCTCTCTGAGCCTTAGATCCTTACCTGTTATAAAAAGAAAAACAAAAAATATGTCCATATCTCACACAGTGAGTTTTTCTGCTTTCCTTTTCATAGGTAGATTGCAAAGTACTTGATGACAAGAGCTACAAACTTTAATGCTTAAAAAAAAAAAACTCTCAAGCAGCAGTTATAAAAATCTTGACTGCCAAGTGTATAAAATCATTTATTAACTCAAGAGAAATAATCCATTCAAAATTTTTAGTCCAAGACTCTGAATGCCAGCATTTTCAAAGACATTTTTAAATGTTTTAAACTTCAAATAGAATTAAATAGCTCTTTAAGCATATTTTTTATTATTTAGACATAGATATTATGCCAAATCTTAGTTTCTGTTAGATACACTAGAAAGGAATAAAAAAAAAAAAATGGAATAAGTAGTGAACTTACTCTCTGACCCCCCCTGAAGGCACATATCCTGCATGATACGTGGTAGTGATTGTTGTTGTTTAGTTGCTCAGTTGTGTCTGACTCTTTTGTGACCTTATCAGCTATAGCCCGCCAGGCTCCTCTGTCCATGGATTTCCCAGGCAAGAATACTGGAGTGGGTTGCCATTTCCTTCTCCAGTGGTAGTGGTTATTTATTTATTAAAACAGACATGAGATGATATGATATAAAGCACCTAAGAGTTCATTTCCAGTCATGATGAATGTAGCCTTGATGTGTGTGTGTGCGTGCGCGCACACGTTCCTTGATGGGGATGGAGGGGGGTGGGGGCAGGGTATATGGTCTTACCTCCTGGAGGGATTAGCTGGCCTCAAGTGCATGGCTGTTACTGTTCCCAAAGCGGAAACTAAAAAGAGAACTGTATTCCCACTGTCTACCATGAGAAGTTGCTTTTGCCCATATGGGAAAGTGTATCCTACTAATCCTTTGTAGTCAAAGACCACTGCATAAGCAACTGTTGTTAAAAACATATCACCACAAGCTATTATTAACCATTATGCATCCCTGACATAGCACTCAATAAATGTTCACATAGTGTATGGTGACCAGAGAGCAAAAGCAAAGAAGAAAGGGAAAAAAAGAAAAATACAATTCTAATTAGATCTAAAAATGTATCTCAAACGTGCGTCTAATCATGCAATGTCTTTGCACCACTGCCTTTTGAAGTGCCTCAGAGACATTAAATGCTTCATAAGAAGGGCCATAGGTGACATATTTCCTCATTCTTCCCAACTGCAGACAGCAGCTTGCACACATCCCAACATAAAGGTCACAAACACAGCCAGATGCCTGTTCAGAATACAAATGCTGTTGGACTTGTTTTTCTCCGAGGAGCTCTCTATCCCAGTGAGTTGCAGCAGCAATGCACTTGGCAGTCTGTCCTGTCTTGTCGTCTGCCCCACAAAAGGTGGGCTTCACAGATGCAAGGTTATTTAATAATTTTACAATTATTAACTCGGTAGCAAAAGTAACCCCCAGGATCGCTAACTCAACCTCCCAACCTGAACAGGTCCCTCTCAGATGCCATCTGGCTTCTGCTGAGTGACCAGTTCCAAGGAGCTCTTCCTGCTTGCAGCCAGAAAGAAGGATGCATTTGTTGAGATTCTCGGGGCTTCAGACAACCTTAATTTTAGGACACTCTGCGTTATCCAGCATAGACCTTTTCAATCCAACAGCTGGGTATTTGACACTGAGTTTGTATCTTCCTGCGAAGTGTTTGGGCAACAAACAAAAAGGGGAAACCCCAGGAGAAAGAAGTCAAGGAGTCCAGTGAAGGGAGACAAGACTAGGAAAAAGCACAAAAGCAGCAATGGGAAAAGGAGACAAGAGCACAGGGAAAACGTGTAGAGAAGGAGAGGGGGCAAAACTAGAAAGAAACTCTGAAGTAGAAAAGGCTGCTCTGAAAACTAACAGGTTTCATGAATTGGCTTCCTGGTGGCTCAGCAATAAAGAATCTGTCTACAATGCAAGAGACAAGAGTTCGATCCCTGGGTCGGGAAGATTCCCAGAGGAAAACGTAGCAGCCCACTCTAGTATTCTTGCCTGGAGAATCCCACGGACAGAGGAGCCAGGCAGGAGCCTGAGGTCCACTGGGTCTCAAAGAGTCAGACGTGACTGAAATGACTGAGCATGGGATGGCGTGAAATTGAAGCCTTCTTTGTATGATCCAGAAAAGTTCCACTACTTTGTCTTTGACAAAAGTGCATTATGAATCCTCTCTGGAGTGAATGTGGTTGTACATATGAGTTCCTGAGTTTATTCATGTTCCAACTCGAGGGCAATTTAGCAAACACTATCAAAACTTTAAAGATTTGTGCTAACTGAACAATAATCCCACTATTGAAAACTTATCCTTCAGGTAAAAAAAATGCAAGAGCTATATGCATGATGATGTTCACTGATTTGCTTGTAGTTGCAAAAACCTGCAACCACTCAAATGTGCTTTAAGGAACTGGTTAAATAATAATGGTACATGCAAATATTAAAAAGAATGAGGTAGGTCTATTACAAGTGTTAAAGTGGAAATCTCTTCATGTTCAGAATGAAGCAAGTTGCAGAATATAATTTTATACTAAGAGGCCACTTGTGAAAAAATAAATATATATGCATATATTTGCTTGCATTTGCACTGGAAAAACCAGAAAGGATAAAATAGAAACTCTGTGTCTAAGGTTACTTTTGTGGGAGATGGAAATTTTTTTTAAATTTAATTATTTACTTTTTATTGAAGTATAGTTGGTTTACAGTGTTGTGTTAGTTTGATGTATACAGCAATAGTGATTCAGTTATATGTGCATATATATATTCTTTTTCATTATAGGTTATTACAAAATACTGAGTTCAGTTCCCTGTGCTACACAATACACTGGACCTTATTGTTGTCGTTCAGTCACTAAGTTGTTTCTGATTCTCTGCAACCCCACGGATTGCAGCATACCAGGGTTCCCGGTGCTTCACTTACTGTTTATCTATGTTATACATGGTAGCGTGTATATATTAATCCCAAACTCTTAATTTATCCCAACCTCCCCTTCCCCCTTTGATAACCAAAAGTTTGTTTTCTGTGTGGATCTATTTCTTTTTTAAAACATAAGAAAGTCACTTATTTATTCATTCCTCCTTGACTTTTGGCTGTGCTAGGGCTTCGCTGCTGTGCGCAAACCTTTCCTAGTGGTGAGCGGGGCCGACTCTTGCGGTGCGCAGACTCCTCATTGTGGTGGCTTCTTGTCACAGAGCGTGGGCTCTCGGCACTCAGGCTTCTGTAGCGGGGTAGCTCAGGAGCTTTAGCACGTGGTCTCAGTGCTTGTGGCCCACCAGCTTAGTCGCTCCGTGACACGTGGGATCTTTCTGGACCAGCGATCGAACCCGTGTTCGACAGGGGGATTCTTACCTACTGTATCACCATGGAAGTCCCTCTCTCTGGATCTGTTTCTGTTTTATACATAAGTTTATCTGTGTAATTTTTTTAGATTCCACAAGTAAGTGGTATCATATGGTATTTGTCTTTGTCTGGCTTACTTCACTTAATATGATCATCTCTATTTCCATCTATGTTGCTGCACATGGCATTATTTCATTCTTTTTTATAGCTGAGTAATATTTGTGGGAAGTGGAGATTTTGTTAGGAGATTTTTATTTTCTATTTTATAATTTCTCTTCCTTCTGACTTACCTTCACCAGCTAACTCCTGGGCTAGTGTTACATAGAATTCAGTTGCCACACATGACAAAGAATACAGACCTGACAAAAACAGTTCAACAAAGTCACTAAACAAGCAAGAAATCTAACAACAAACATAGGGTTGTACAAATAATTAATAAATCACAGTGCGAGTAAGAGAGAAGAAATACAGGGTACAAATACAGAGATCAAAAGAGATGAAAAGGTTTTGCTGATCTAATGTGATTTTTCCTCTGATAAACAGTAATTATGTGCCAAAATACTCTTAGTGAGTTTTTCAGTGTTAGTGGCCAAACAACGTGAGCTGTGTAACAAGCATTTTCTCAGACTCACCGATTCCTTTAATCAGGTGGCAGTTAGGAAGGTCTACAGATTCCACTTCTCTGGAGGCTTTAAGTCGATTCCTGTTTAAAAAAGAAAAAAATCTATCTGTTTATGTATCCCTGCTTTGTAGCAGAAAGGGTTTAAAGAGGCTTACAGCAATACAAAAAAAAGAAAACAACACAGCACAAATCTAAAGTGGGTAAAGGAGAAGATGGAAAACAAGAGTAGGAACATAAAATAGCACCAGAACTGAAGTTAAAATGGAAATGCATATCACAAAGTTCTCTATGTGAACATGGGTCATAAAAGGAAGCCAACAATCCAACAAATACAGCTTTCAATGCACGTTCCTATGCAAATATAAACATGACACCAAGTCCCACTTCTCATAGCTCTTGTGTTGTGGGAAGAGCCGCAGATGTAGAACCAGAAGACTCGGGGGCGGAAAGCTGCTCAGACCCTCTGCAGAATGACACAGTGACCGAAAGCAGGTCGAGAGAGGACGGCATTGTTCAGAGCCAGGCTCACAGAGGATACCACGTAAATACTTATTAAGAGGCTGAGGAGCACCGACTACTCTAGCAAAACTCCTTGCTGTTGTCATTTCGTAAACACAGAAGTGAAGAAATAAGGAGAAAATGTTGAGCTTTGGTAAAGCATCTTCACTCGTCCTTCCCACCCTGGAGCAGCAGCCCACCACGCAAGGTGGACAAACACACCCGGGTTCTGCTGTCGAGGGCTTCCCCTCTTCTCATCGCCTCACCTTCTCTGAGTTCTCTGTGCACAGAAAGAACGGCAGTCGTGCGTACAGAGTAGCCTGCCCTTTTCAAAGCGGTGCACGCGTACCACACGTCTAAGGGACAGAAGGACAGCGTGTCACGGTCTCTGCTCTCTGCATAGCCTTGCCTCTTCGGCCTTCTAGATGCCGAATATGGGGAAGGCTGCTGTTTTCTTGGCAAAATGGAAGAAACCGCGGCCTGGGTTAACTCAGAATTACCAATAGGGAGTGGCAACTGTGTATTCTGGCAGTTCACATATACATGTGTATATATAATATGAAAGTTTCTAATTAAAGTGTTCATCACTGTGTGTTTGGAATCCATATAACTAAAATAGTATTAAATTTCTTAAGACAACATAGCAATAAAGCAGTGAAATAAAAATAAATGAATAAAATAAATATATAAAATATATGGACATAATAGAAAGTTTAAAATAACCAACCAAAACTTTAAATTAAGCAGTAAAAGAAAAAAAATACAAAAAGATCTCAAATCTATGAGCCCCAGGAATGACTTACAGGGAAAACAAGTATTTTTTTCAATTAATTTTTATTGGAAAACAAGTATATATTTAGCCTAACATAAGTAGTAGCAGTTAATACTAGTGATGAGGATGGTGCTGCTGATAATCATGGTGATAAAAGGTAATCAGTAGTAAGAAGGGCTAACATGTATCAAAAGTGTTAGTAGTGAAAGAGGAAGACCATGTTTCTGTCATAGCAATAAGACTGCATGACCTTTGGCAGGTCAGTTTAGGTCTATAGGCCTTATGTGGGATCTTAGTTCCACAACAAGGGATCGAACCCATATTCCCTGCACTGCAAGGCAAATTCTTAACCACTGAACCACCAGGGAAGTCCCAACATCAGGGTTCTTAATTTCAGGCCCAGTGAACTTTGTGGAATCCATGGGTAAAATTCAGGGGTCTATGAACTCAGATGGGGGGAAAAACACATCTTTAGTTAAATCTCTGACTGAAATTGAGTATTTCTTTTGATGATGAGTGTAGGCAACAAACCACTGAGCTTTCTACTAGTAGTACCTGTGACCATCACTAACAGAAATTGCACACATTGTTTCGTAACATTTTAGTTGTAGATATCTCAAAATACCATTTATATTCATCTCTGCTTCACAGTACCTGCTGCTGCTGCTAAGTCCCTTCAGTCGTGTCCAACCCTGTGCAACCCCACAGACGGCAGCCCACCAGGCTCCTCTGTCCCTGGGATTCTCCAGGCAAGAACACTGGAGTGGGTTGCCATTTCCTTCTCCAATGTATGAGAGTGAAAAGTGAAAGTGAAGTCGCTCAGTCGTGTCTGACTCTTCACAACCCCATGGACCACAGCCTACCAGGCTCCTCCATCCATGGGATTTTCCCGGCAAGAGTACTGGAGTGGGGTGCCATTGCCTTCTCCATACAATACATGCTGCTAAGTCGCTTCAGTCGTCTCCAACTCTGTGCACTGTTAGGTATTCAATGACCTCTAGATATATTTAAGGCTTATTATATCCTATGTTAGATTTTTTCAAATAGTTTGACAATAGAATTTAAATCAGTTATTATTAACTTAGATAGTATTTAAGTTTGGTTTATAATCCTGTGTATTTTATTTTATGCATTTAGGAACATGATGCTGAGAAGGAGTCAAGGCTTCACCAGACTGCCAAAGGGATCTGCGGCACAAAAATCTAAGAACCTTTGCTCCAACATTATCATCATCACAGGTAACTATTATTGTGCATTTCCTGTGTGTCTGACAGTGTTCTAGCATTTTGCAAGAATTAACTCATTGATTATTTTTACAGCCCCTATATGCAGCATAAAGTATGATTACCCCCATCCTACGGATTAGGACACTGAGGCACAGAAAGGTGAAATAAAAGCCAACGAGTCAGGTAAATAGTGGAGAATTCAGGCTACCTGGCTCCAAGGCATGAACCCTTAACCAACAGTCATCAGCATGAAAGGAATCTCTATTTCTTTCACTCAGGAAAAGGCATCACCTTCAAAGTGGGATGAGACCGGGGTGGTTAGTGATTACCTTGCTTCATATTGTGGTAACAGTAAAGATGCACCAGGCTGGTATGTCAGCAGGGGACACAGTCTTCTTACCAGGTTTGCTCCTTATTGTACTGCCTTTGAATTTACAAACCACTGGTGGGGCTTTATCTTTTAAGTGCAGACTTAAATTCAAACAGGGGCTTTATCTTTCACGTACAGACTTGTAAAACCCCTTGGCATTCACTCCCTCATCCCCTGTAATGCTCTTACTTAACTCAGAGTTTGTGCTCAGGCTTGTAAAGCTGAGGAAAACTTGCTCCAATGGCAGAGAAGAGAGGAGGCTACAGGGAACTGGGGCAAACTGTATTTGGAATCAGAAGACCTGACTTAGAAGTACAGGTTTGGCACTAACAATTGAACTAACTAGTTAGCTTCTCCAAGCTTCAGTGAACTAACTAGTTAGCTTCTCCAAGCTTCAGTTTTATCAGATATAATATAGGAAATATATAACATAATATAAAGACAGATATGAAGACTGGGAGAAGGCAGGAAGGTAAAAGGGCTTTCTTTCCAAATGTCAGTAAATGTTTGTTTTAGTTTAACACCAAGAACTGATGACACTTTCAACACAAAGACTAGCACACAGGGCTTCCCTGGTGACTCAGTGGTAAAGAACTGGCCAGGCAATGCAGGAGACATGGGTTGGATCCCTGATCCAAGAAGATCCCACATGCTGTGGAGCAAACCTTGCCCCACAACTACTAAGCCTGTGCTCTAAAACCCAGGAACCGTAACTGCTGAACCCACGCCCTACAACTACTGAAGCCCACACACCTAGAGTGCATGCTCTGCAACAAGAGAAGCGACCACAATGAAAAGCCTGTGCACCGCAACGAGAGTGGCCCCCACTCTCTGCAACTAGAGGAAAACCACCATGTGGCAATGAAGGCCCAGCACAGCCATTTAAGACCAGCACATGGTAGTCACACAATAAATAAGGCGGATGGTGGCTGAAAAACAGGCTGCCCCTTCAGAAGTGTTCATTGGATAGCTTCTTGGTGGAGTTGTCATAAAAGATGTCAGGCAACGAGGAGAAAGTTCAGATGCTTATTTCTGGATTTCCTGCTCAGGCACAGGTCTCTTACGCACTCAAGTCTTACGATTCATTCAAGGCTGTGTGCTTTGGAATAGGGAGCACAGACCTGGAGATATTTGTGTATTTCTGTTTTCCCCTTTATTGTTCAACTAGGGAGGAGTGGAAAAGTTGGGTATGATATGCCATCCTCCCCTGGGAACCTTAGCCAGCTACAGTTCAGAAGGAAATAGACAACTCTGATTCCATTTATCCATCCATGACATACTAAAATACTATTCATTGCTTATCTGAATTTAACTGGGCAGCTTGGGGGAGAGAAATAACTTGAGTGCCAAAGTACTGTCTCTAAAACTAGAATAATGAACTAGAAGGCACCGGATGAGTGAAAAAACAAACTGAAAACGTGTGTTTGAAGAGCCTTTCTCTTTGTGGAGGTGGGAGATGCTGATTTTCAAAATACTCCAAGGGACTGAAAGGAGAGATGCATTTAAGCACTCCACCAGACTTGGTAAACAGTAGGTAGTTGATATTCTGCACTTACAGGGTTGCCAGATAAAATGTGAGTGAAATTTGAATTTCAGATAAATAATGAATACTATTTTAGTATAATTACATCCCAAATATTGCATGGGGTATGTTTGTACTAAAAAAAGATGTGTTGTTTATCTGAGATTCCAGTTTGACTGGGTTTCTTGCATTTTTATTTGCTAGATCTGTCCATCCATCATTCCCCTCACCTTCTCACATCGGCCAATATGAGGCTTCAGTTGACCAATGAGGTTACAACCCTGTGAAGTCACTGATAAATAAAGTTTATTATAGTCAAGTCTTTATAAAGAAAAGACACATTAAATTTTAAATGACCCATCAGGTACAGTCTGTATGAATAAGATTTATCTACTTTTTCTTAGGTTTGCAACCACATTTATCATTCAAAGGGACTTAAATTTAAAACCTTAAGATTAGTAAGAAGAAAAAATTATAAACTGAGGAAACTTCAGTTAATGGAAACACTGGTGGTTTGAGCTATAGGGATAACCTAATGAGCTTGTGAATTTTAGTGGGAGCTGGATAGAGCATACAAAATCATCCAACTCAATAACCTTCTGCAGAACAGGATAGTTGTTTATATAACATAAAAATTAAGCTCAGTGTGTCCATTTCTTACCAGTGAACGTTCCTCCTCCGACTCTGACCTTTCCTGTTGCGCAGACACTGTCCTCCTGGTGTTTTTCTATGAGCAGATGAAGCTACAGCTAAGCCAGTTGAGCTGGAAACTCTAGCATCACCTTTGACCTACCCCTCATCCCCCAGGCTTCCAGAGTTTGGGCCAAACCACTGCAATACTTTAACTAGTTTCCCCAGGTCTTTTTAGTCTCCTTCTGGTACTTGTCAGCTCTAAAGTCATATGAGAATTATCAGGAGAACTTTTAAAAATAAGAAATACTCATGCCTGGGCCCCACTCAGAGCAACAGGACTGGAACTGCTGGGGGTGCTGTCCAGACAGCAGGCCTCCTGGAGAGCCTAAGGCACAGCCAGGACTGAGAAGCACTGCTCTAGTCCAGTCCAGCCTTCCAGGTCCACTCTGCACAGCCCAGCTGATTGTGCTCTAGAAAGTTTAAACAGGCTCCTGTTTAAAAAATAAAACACACAGCAAACACTGACAGTTCCCTTTGCCTATCAAAGCAGGCCCCAGTTTCTCAGCATACCTTTAATAACCATCTGGAGACCTAGCCATCCCCTGTCCCTACTGTTATCATCCCTTAACTTTAAGCTCCCCTCACATCCAGACTTCCCCACATCAGTCCTTTGTTCATGCTCCAACTTCGATCTTGGACTGCCTCCTTCCTCCCCACTTGGGTTTCACCCATCCTTCCAGGACAATGTCAAATGTCTCTTCTTCCTGAGCTTCAACTTCAGGCGTTCAGTCATTTTTCCTCCTTAAGCCTATAGAGGTTGGTCTGTACCTGTCCTAAACATCCTGATCGTCCCTGTAGCTCAGATGGTAAAGAATCTGCCTGCAATGCAGGACACCTGGGTTTGATCCCTGGGTCAGGAGGATCTTCTCGAGAAGGGAACTGCAATCCACTCCAGTATTCTTGCCTGGAGAATGCCATGGATAGAGGAACCTGACGGGCTACTGTTCCTGGGGTCGCAAAGAGTCAGACACGACTGAGCGACTAACACTGCCACACTGAACATCCTAGTTTATCCATCTGTCTTATTTCTCTCCTTCCCTTTAATAGGTTAAGAACGGTGCCTTACTCTATTACAGGAGCCTAAGAGAGCACAGCATACAGAACAGATGCTCAGCATTTCTGGAATTTTTTCGAGTAAGGCTTATATAATTTGAATTGATAATTCGAAGACTGTGACATCTGCTTATCGCGTTCTTTTCATAATAAGTAAAATGTGAGAAGGACTAGGCGTGCCCTGTTTGGCATTCTGGCTTCACGGTTCCTGGACGAGGAGATAAATAAGGAAGTGATGTAAGAACAGTAGCTGAATATTTCAAGTATCTTTGATCTACTGCGCCAAGATTACAGAGCAGAGGAAGCTTCTCCAACGCGGCAGGGGAGGGATGGAGAACAACTTTGTTAAAGACAGAGGCTGGTTTGGGCACCAAAGAGAAGCAGGCTCCGTGACCTGAAATAAATCTTTATAATTAAAGTTTCCGTGCTTGAGTAATAGTGTTGTTTTCAAGTTAAAGCACAAGGTTTGCCCTTGAGTAAACTGCAGGGCACTCGCACAGCTCGTCAACCTAGGTAGCAAAGAACTTTGTGAGCAGCAAAAGCTTGTAAACTCTCCAGGAAGTCTCGCGATTCAGCGCAAACTGTGTGGGGTTTTGCGGGCGGCTGGGGGTGGGGTGGCGCGCTCGGCGGGCCGGGGAGCAGAGCCGGCAGAGAGCCTCCCCGGCCCCGGGCTCCAGCACAAGGGTCCCCGCGCCGCCTCAGCCCTAGCCACCCCGACCCTGCGCACCCGGGAGGGCCCCCGGCCCCTACCTGAGCGCCAGGAACCTCTCGCCCAGCAGCGCCAGCGCGATCCCCAGCAAGCTCAGCGCCAGCAGCCGCCCCATGGCTCGGGAGCCGCGCCGCCTCGCTCCGCCGGACCGGGGAGCACTGTGGGCGGCGCCGCGGTACCGCCGGCGATGGGGCTGCGCTCCGCCCCGAGCCGCCCTGCTGGCGGGAAGCCGGGGCTCCGCCCTCGGCCGGGCCCTTGGCCTTTGACACCACAAACCTGCCTCCTCAGACACCTTCCCTGGGACCAGGAGCCCACCCCCGCCCAGGTTAGGCCCGGTTAGATGACACGTGGAATTCCTTCACTTCCTTTCACTGACAGCTCCGCAAGAATCTCTAGCAGCCCTCGGGCTTTGCTTAGATCCCACTTCTCAGACATTCCTTCCATCCTAGTCCTGGAACTTACATCCTAGAAACTTACGAGGGACAGTTTTAAAGAGTGTGGGTATATGTGTGTGTGTTGGGAGGAGGGGTGTTATGTTATTATTATTACTACAGGAAAAGATACTGGGTCATGTCTTGTAAATATATTATGTTGGAATCACTATTTTAAATAACAGGATACAGATGGGAGGAAGGAAACCTCAAGTTTCTAAGCAATGCTTCATCCAGACTGTGCTCACTCCAGTCACTCAGTCGTATTCCACTCTTTGCGAACACATGGACTGTATGTAGCCCGCCAGGCTCCTCTGTCCCTGGGATTCTCCAGGCAAAAATACTGGAGTGGGTTGCCATTCTCTCCTCCAGAGGAATCTTCCCAACCCAGGAATCAAAGCCAGGTCTCCAACATTGTAGGTGGATTCTTTACCATCCAACCCACCAGGGAACAAGTATGGCTGAAATAAGCTTCTGATGGTTGCTGGTTAATTGTCACTCTACGTTATGTAGGCAGAAATGGTCTCAATTGAGAATTTTCAACAGACATAGGTCTTATTAGCAACGAGTAAATAAAAGCAGATGCCAGTTTCTCACCTGTAATACAGCCCAGGAGAAAAAATAAGACCCCTCTTTTTCTGTAGGGCTTCCCTGGTAGTTCAGCTGGTAAAGAACCCTCCTGCAATTCGGGAGAACCTGGTTCGATTCCTGGGTCGGGAAGATCCGCTGGAGAAGAGACAGGCTACCCACTCCAGTATTCTTGGGCTTCCATGGTGGCTCAGCTGGTAAAGTATCCACCTGCAGTGCGAGAGACCTGGGTTTGATCCCTGGAGAAGGGAACAGCTACCCACTGCAGTATTCTGGCCTGGTGGCAAAGAGCAATTCTGACTTTCACTTTTCAGTTTCTGGATGTGAATGTCTGATTCAATACTGAGGGACGTTACGTTCTGTTGCGTGGTACGTAGTTACATAGTTGTCCTTTGAAAGCCCAGGAGGCTTGCCTTTTCTGTGTGTAATGGTCTCCTCTGGCAGTAGTGAAACTGTAGCTACCTTCCTAGGAAAACGTTTCTAAGCGCATACAATGACAGTACCAGTTGCAAAGGAGATCAATCATGTTCCAAAGAAATTATCAAAATGTTCTTTCGGAAGTCTGTACTGCAGTAATATAGCAGTCTAATGTGTGCTGCGTTGCTCACACATTAAATAGCAAGGTGTAGCACTTTTTTTTTTCAAGTAGTAATGCGCATAAATGTTATTTCAAGAAATCTGTAGCACTAATGAAATAATGATCATAACTCTTATTTCCATTAGTAACAAAGTCACAAGTATTGCTAATGCTTCTGGAGTTTGTTTTCTACTTTCATAATTGAAAGCAATGCTTAATTCCATTAAAAATCAAGGTATTTCCCCCTCATTCAAGGTCACAGACCCTCCGGAATTCTATATATAGACCATTTGGATTAAGAATTGTGCCATAGTTACCCTATGACTGGGTAGTTAAGGGTGGGATCTCTTCTTTAGGGAGGTGTTTTGTTTTGTTTTTTTAATTGTCTGTCTGAACACAAATACCCTGATACCATGCTTTTTTTTTTTTTAATTTTTGGCTGTGCTGAGTCTTCACTGCTGCACAGGCTTTTCTCTGGTTGTGTGAGTTGGGGCTACTCTCTAGTTGCCGTATGCAGGCTCTCATTGTGATGGTCTCTCTTGTTGCGGAGCGTGGGCTCTGGGGCATGTGGGCTTAATAGTTGCGGCTCACGGGGCTTAGTTACTCTGCAGCATGTGGGATCTTCCCAGATCAGGGATCCAACCCATGTCTCCCGTATTGGCAGGTGGATTCTTCACCACTGAGCCACCAGGGAAACCCTAGGGAGGGTTTTAATGACAGTCTTTGGAGAAGAGAAGAATTTCATATATGACATCAGAATTTAGAATGAAGACCTATGCCCAGGGCTTCTGTGTTATTCTGAGCCTTATGCCAATGATTCTGGATGGTGACCAGTAGATAAAACTATGCCTATACATTTAATTGTACATATAATTGTTGTGTGCTTTTTCCCTTTGCTATGCCCTGGCATTTTTTAAACTCATGTTCTTCATATTAGTAATTCAGTCTGGTTACAACTGAACTTAAAGGGTCAAAGGTCTGTTTTCTTCAAGATATACTCAGGGTAGTGAAACATAGCTCTTGTGCCAACCTGCCCATGGCAGACATCACTAATTGAGCCTTCCACTGTTTCTCACTAAGCCTAGGCTTGTCTTCACATCTTTTCAAACAACAGCAGAAGAGAAATAAAGGTCCCTGAGGTAGCCAGTGACAGAGGTCGGTTCAGGATGAAGCCCGCTCACCATCTTGTGCCACCACAATGCCCTGGGGTTTAGGATGGAGGCATTTGTGGTAAAGAACCAGGCTTTCAAATCCAGCGAGACATACCATACCTGTCTCAGAGAATCTTGGGGAACCCTCAGTTTAATTTTATTAATTTGACCAGTGAGTTCCCTCAGACTTGGTCTCCTAATTCCTCATGACTCTGTGTGAAGAGCCCAATAACTCTATTCTGGGAAGGGAGAGTTAGAGAGTTTGGGATGGACAGGTACACACTGCTATATTCAAAATGGATAAACAGCAAGAACCTACTGTATAGCACAGGGAACTCTGCTCAATGTTATGTGACAGCCTGGATGGAAGGTGATTTGGGGAGAGAATGGGTACATGTGTGTATATATATATGGCTGAGTCACTTCGCTAAAACTATCACAACATTGTTAAATCAGTTATACTCCAAAATAAAACAAAAAAGTTAAAATAAAAAAGCACCACAAATCCCTATCGCTACCATGCCAGGGCTGAGAATTATCTTTTCTCATAGTTGGGTTGGGGGAAGAGAGATTTTCTGATTTGGAAATCAGAAGCCTAATTTCTTCATCACAAGAGAATAGAGAGGACTGGTCATTAAATTCTATAGTACATACGAGTGATTACATTTTATAGTATAGCTTAGCAGTTTTTTGAGATGACTGGAATTTGTACGCTACACCAACCTAACCCCTGGCTTATGTTTTTTCACGGGAAAAATTGGTTTCTGACTCCCGCATAACCAAGTTACCCAACACAAAGCAGACTTGCTTTGGAGCTTGTTTGTATGCTGGCAGCACCTCACACTTGGTTGGAAGTAGTTCTCAAATAATGACATATAACTACTTTGTAATTAGAAATTAATGGTTGTTAAGCAAAATTGCAGAAATAATAATAGTTTTTTTCAATGCTTCTCAAACTGTGTGTGGTGAAGGACAGGTTTTCTTTGCCTTTGTAAAGTACAATGAAAGTGAATTACTAGAAAATGAAGTGAAAATTCAGACACACAAAATATAAGCCCAAATCTTTTATTATTTGATTCAGCAGATGTAAAATTACTTTGTCAAATTTGTATAACAGTTCTAAATGCTTACTCTCAAATTTTCATACTTATCTCACCATGGACCAGAAACAAAGCATTCACAGACCAAAAATGGTCCTTGGAACACAAGTGGACAGCCTTTCATGATTGGATTTTAACCCTTTAAAGTTCTTTGCAGTATATTATCACATGTAAAATCCCCAGTAATTTATGAAATAGGTTTCTTGTAATTATTGTCATTTTGTATAATATATAATGGGACATTCGTTCCTCCATATCCTTTTTATTTTTTTCCTCTCTTTTCCTTTTATTTTTTAAGAAGTCATATCTTAAAAAAAAAAAAAAAAAGAAGTCATATCTTTAGATCTTTTAACATAAAAATACATGGAAGAGGTGTTATAAAAGATAGTTATTATCAGTAAAAGAAAGATTTGCTTTGTAGATGCTTCACACTTGTGCTCCTGGAGGGTAGACTTCCCTACCAACTTACGGCAGTGCGTAAATTCAAAGAAAAAATGAATGAGTTTTTCCATTGTGTCAGTGTATCTCTAGGACATATGAATAAACAATTTTGAGATAATGTTAGAAGTTAATCAGATGGTCCACTTGACCCAAGTCATTTCCTGAGAATTTCAGTATATTAAAAAGTGAAGAAATGCCATATAACAGAAATAGAAAATTGTTATATATTTTAAAAATATTTATAATCAACAAATTAACATTCTTCAGATACTAGATTGAACAATATGAACTTGCTATTTGTAGAGGTCAAAAACACACAGATGTAAAGTAAAATTTTATGAACTAGTCACAAAATAGTTATGCATTTTGTGGGGAAAAAAAAAAGTTTATTTCTGGTTTATTACAGGAGGAATGGCCCAGTAAAATGAATGAGTTTTTAAATTTTTAGGTAAGAACAAGGAGGAGGAAGTGGAACTTGTGTTAAATAATTCTAATATTCTTGCATGTGTGGAAAGAGAGCAGAGATACTGGATAACTTTATATTTTCTTAAGGTAAGATGCTGAAAGAAAAACTGCAGTGTGTAAGTTCAAAGAAAAAAAGAATGAGTTTTTCCATTGTGTCAATGTATCTCTAGGACATATGAATAAACAATTTTGAGATAATGTTGGAAGTTAATCAAATGGTCCTTTTGACCCAAGTCTCTTTCTACAGAGGGCTGTCAGATTTGCTACCTGTCTTCTGGGAGCTGTGGGACCTCTCCAGAGATCGTGGGGGTAGAAAATGTTGGGAGAGAGAAAGGTTGGGGAGACCAGACACAAAACTCCCAATCTCCTTCAGAGCCTGACTTGGTATGGCCTGAACTGTATAGAAGAAGTAAAGATATATTCCCTCCACTCTAGGAAATACACACATA